GAAACCGGGCGTCGGCCAAGACTGGGTAAGTAGCGGACAGGCGGACACGGCCATGTGGGTTGTTTGGCTCGAAGTGAATGCTCAGCAAGTCGGGGCACTCAGACCCACCTAAGAAGCCCTTACCATGGCTAGAAGTGCTGGGTACGCAAGTGCAAAGGTAGCACCTTTCTACATCGAAAAACGCGTCACTAGGACCCTAGGCGCCATGGACTTCTAACAGACTCCACCAAACTTAACATGGTCCGCCCACCGTTCGATATCTTGTCTGCGTCGCACGTTGATGTGCTATGCTCTCTCTTCTCGGACTTCTCTACCACCCTCCGCGCTCGCATTATCTCTCATTTCCCTGCCTGTCTTTCGAAATTCTCCACAGTATGGAGCAAAATGCCCATATTCCCTGTGCATTTAGTGATTTTCTTCTCTTATTTTCCTCCACGGCGGTCCAACGCATCTCTGCTTTCAATGTTGGGCAGTGGAAATCACCATTCAATTTAATCCCTGATTTTTTTGCTTTTAAGTTAAGGATCTACAGTGAAGAATGAAGGGAAAACTATTGAAACATTCGTTAATGAGGCCCTCTTTTCTATAGGCGGCTAATGTTTCACAGAGGCAGATAGAGACAGGGAGCTAGGACACAAGGTGTGTCGAGGCGAGATAGCGGAACCGGAGACGAGAGAGCATAAGGGAGATGAGCGAGATTGCAGGACGCTCCATCGTTATTGTTTGGACGTTGGCTCGTGACCAAGAAAAGCGGCAGTCAGCTGAGTCATTGATAGCCCCTGAATCTTCTGTCGCGTTCTTTCAAGCCGATAGAACAGCACATCTTCTACCTCCGCGGGCAGCTCTATAAAATTCGCAGTGAACCATTCCATTGGAACTTTTTGGGTAATGGGCCTTCAAAGATGGTGCAGCTTTCAGTGCTCAGATTGAGCTGGGATATATAATTTGAACTCGCAAAAAAGTTTAGATGATGTGCTCTCACGGTTGCGCAGCTTATTTCAACAGATATTCACGTATGCCTTCAACGGATCCTGTAACTTCACAGACAAGTCATGGTGTGGGATTGTTCTGGAAATTCTGGGGTCGTGTTTCATTGTGCCGTGCTAAGCACCGCTTCCCATGCACAAGAAGCTTCGTGTAGCGCACAAACACCGGAACTCGTGACCAGTTCCTTCCTCTTCCTGTTTTCGATCACGATTGATGACTGAGTAATAACACAACAGTTCGTGAATTTCTAATAGTTCGGAATGGATTCGCCTGCCACAAACCCCATTATTAAGGTTCCACTGTACCATACCAGGTGCTATTTTTAACGACTTCTTGGAATGAGTCTGCAACCGGGAGAAATAAGTCTACCGGAGGTGCCTTTGTAAAATAGGGGCTCATACTCCTCTTTTTGAATTTCAGAAGTATTACCGCAAATATTTGATCCACAAATGAAACCTGCGGAACTAGCCGATGCTCAAACCATTGTTTTTCCCTCCAGCGGAGTGCGACTCCAATTAATCGACCTCGAAAAGTTTAAGGCTTGGCAGGCTCGCACGAAACTCGATTTAGGATGTCACACCCAGATCAGCTCTATATTTACGACATTTATGGGTTTGGCTAATCGATCCCGCACGAATGAACAATGATGTCAGGTGATCTGTGGAGTGCCATATAAAACGTGTCATCAGGTAGAAAGTGATCAACCTGGTTGAAGCTGAGCAAAGAGTAAGTGAAGTAGGATTGATTTGCCTCTTCTGAAGGAGAAAAAGTCTCTGTGTAGTCGAAATGGCGGAATTGCGAGAAAGAACTGATTACAAGAACGCTTTTACATGAACGTCGGAATTCAATGGTAATGATTTGCAGATAGACGAAAGGCAATTCGTAGGATCTAAAGAAGTTCCAAGGAGGTAGACAACTAAGAGCTTGGTAAACGCATTGTGCTGGCTGCTACCCTTATGCTCGCTAGCGCGAAAAAGAGCCTTCCGAGGTACTTTTTTGCCGACTTGGTTGCTGGGACCGTCAAAAATAATGAAGGTTTCTACGGTCTCGAAACTGATTCGTGAGCAGAAATTCGGAAAGAAATTTCTAAATGATCTACAAATAAGCCCTTCTTCAAAAATTTCAGTCATATGGGATCTGATGATGCAATGATTCGAAAACAAGCAGCAAAAGGGAAAAGCTCTGTTGAGCAAAAGCTGTCCACATTTGGTCAAGCTAGCAGGCGATTACTCCAAATCCTTGGCTATTTAGTGCCGCGTTAAGTTGCACAAGCGGTAGATTTGAGCAGAGAAAAGTTCTCGCCCGTACGAGGGGAATCGTTCAAATTAGAGGGACCCAAGAAGATCAAGACGTCTTGTTCTAGAACATGTTGATTATTTGAATTTTTTTATGAAAGGCAAGGGTCGCCTAAAGCTGTATTGGGTTGGAGCATAATATTGTAGCGCTTGCATTTTTCATTTCTTCACACAAATATTTGAAGCAAAAACTAAACACATAAAACTAATCAGTGATGTTCACTTCGTCTTATTTGCAACTTTGATTTCGCAGTAGATATCTGGATATAGAAACATAAAAATTGTGAGCTCATTTCGGAGTCTTTAGTGTATTTCTCAAGTTCATATAAAATGAATATGGTTCGATTTGAGGCCAAAAAGGGGCAGTTCGGTTAGAGCGAGGTTCGATTAGGACAATGGATTCAAAAAAATTCCCGTTTCGATGTTTTTCTTCTTTATTTGAACGAAGAGTAGCAGCTGTCGAAATGCCGATTTTCGTCGTACGGGTTTTATAACTCTAAGCTCTTAGCTTGAGCAAAGACTACAAATTTTAAGAGAACGATCAACGACAGCCTCGTATGTTTGCGGCAAGAATGCTTTCGAATAATATATGCGGTTCCTCAGGTGACATTCGCACTAATTGAATTAATAGGCTCAAAAAAAAACGCTACGATATTATGCTCCAACCCAATATGTAATGGAGGAAGTGTCGATATTTCACTAGGAGGAATTAAAACGAGAATTAAATTAGCGGAGAAGCATGACGAAAAAAGGAAGAGCGATTCTAGATATGCGTCAAACCAGGGGGCTTTCCCAATTCGGGCAGTAGCAGCCTCGAACTGTTCAATGCCGTGAGTACTTGACGACGTGCGACAGTCATATGCGAGAGTAGAAGTATTTGAACGCGGCGAACTGAATGATTTACATAGCAGGTTCACAGAAAATTCACCGCTGGCGGTATCGAGTCACGCTCACAAGTGAAACTCTCCCGCTCCGTTTCTTCCCTTTGGTAGAGTCGCCAAAACCGAAAAAAACGACCTAGTTTTTAATTAAAAGTAAAGTAAAAGAAGATGAAGAGAGTAGCGAGAATTCAGTGTTTGCAAGCCAGTACTCCTTGGAAGACGTGCTATAGAAATAAACTTCAGTCAATAGTAATCTCGTTCCAGATGTCATGAAAAAGAAAAGGGGGAACCGCCCGTTGGGCCGAATAAATGGGAGACGTAAGAGAGCGATGGTGGCTGCGGCAGAATCCCCAACCGGGATGTCTCGAGATTCGCCAGTGGGTGGAACTAGCCATAAACGAGTGTTGATTCAGCGTGTTCACGTTTGTCCCGACAAGGAATCTTCACCCACTATCATCCCTTCTTCGATATCGCCCCGCCTAAAGCCCGCAGGCGTGGATCTGCACAGCACGCAAAACGACGGATACGATAGAAAAATAATGACGGGGTAGGGAGTCTACCCATGGGTTTGGAAACTTACCCAAGTATAGCTTCGAGCCTTTCCTAAAGTAAATGGTTAGGTTGATTTTCACCAGAATAACGCCCGCGATTCACTGTTTCCAAGTCGCATAGGGTGGTGGTTATATTTGACCCCATGGGAAGCTCTGGGACGAAAGGAGGCTTGATCGCTTTTGTTCACAATGGGACAGAGACCTCTGATCACGCGTAAGGATCATTTGGGATCACCGATATGGTCATTGACTTATGTCAACCTAGCGATCGTTGCGCCACCTGCAACCGGTAAAACCTTCTCAACAAGGAAGGTCTTTCAGGGTGTGCCAAGCTTTTTCAAAACGGTCTTTTGCATGATATAGAGGCACATGCGGGAACCACAGAACCATGGGTAATTTTTCCTGAACGGCCCTCTGAATACCAGAAAGGGGGTCCCTAGTCACACCTTTTTCACCAGTTTTTCAATCAAAGTCTATTTGTAAGGGTTACTGACGTTCCTAATCATGAATTTGGTACTAATTATTCATGCTAACTCCATTTTGCGCGAATTTGGAAACGTCAACACGAAATGCAAAAACTTGTCACCACGAGGAATCGAACTAGGGACCCCTTTTCTGGTATTCAGAGAGCCGTTCAGGAAAAATGAACCATGCTTCTGTGGTCCCCATATGTGCCCCAATGTCATGCAAGAAAGAAACCGTTTTGAAAAAGCTTGCACACCCTGAACGACCTCCCCTTGTAAGGTGTAAAGCGCTCAAAACGATTACCTGACTATTTTAAAGACTCATGAGGGGATTATAAAACCGGAGCCCATTCTCGTTAAACGGCACCGTGATGGCCGAAAGTGGTGAAGAATTGTTCCAAGGTTCAATTCCCCGTGGTGACAAAAATTTTGTATTTCACTTTGTAGCCTCCAAATTGGTCCCTAGCAGCACACTAACGCCAATAGTAGGCCATTACTCATTAAAAAAGGAATCATCATGGCCCTATACGAATCTAGATTTTCACCGAAATACGGTAAAAACCACCCCTACAAGCGAATTTTCTTCCATTTTTCAATCTTCAGGACCAGCTCAGAGAAAATGAAGCTCAGTTTTCCGGCCAACGTAAGAGCGGCTTTGCAACAGCGCCTCAACTCTGAACGATCTTCATTGTTAGCAGTGCCATCCGCTTAATAGCAGTTTTCTGGCCACTACACTTCAAGCAGGCAATACGTAATGCTCTATGAAGTCAAAGAAAAGAGGGTATTATGGCCTTTAGCGGCGAGACTGAGAAAAGGCAAGAAATGCAGTGGAAGTTCTTTAGGAAAAATCAAGAAGATCTTCCCGGAGCTCAAGCTACACTAATGGTAAGTAGGTAAATGAATTACGACGACGAGGGGCTCCGAAATCACGAAGTTATCAGAGTTCACATTTTTGAGGCAGCGTAAGGATTTGACACTGTCGACGTTCGACCCCTCCCTCTGCCCTCCAAACCGGATTACTCGATCAATGTTTAGTGTTTAGTTGTGAATGGGTCGAGGCGATTACATGACGTGGCGAGAGTTCCGGTTGGATAAAACGCCGTCAGAAGGCTTTGGCCAAACAGCTGCGGAAAGGCCATATAAACGTCTTTCGGCACATAAAATTCCGATTTCAGGGCTTGTACTACTCATACTATAAGACAATCATCAATGCGCCGTCGTTCTACAATGGCCTTCTGCAGATAACAAACGACAACGTGACGGAATACGGACACACCATTAACACGTTGAAGCGATTCAATCTTTTATCCAGAGGTGAGTGCATTGCCCTGCTGAATGGGTGACGATGACAGGACAAACACGTTCTCTTACACACAATGCTTTGACCCGTTCTTTCATCATTGTTTTGACGTGAAGGCGGTTCGAATCGCCCCGGCCTAAACGTGTCGCTGCATTGTCAGCTTCTTCTGTCCTTTGGACAATAGCCATCCTTTAAGCGGGGATCAAAGTGATTGGAATCCATTCTGAAAGGCTGCGGTTGCGATAGCGAATCAGTGGCCGCTTCCAAACTTGTGGCATCTTTTATTGTATCCAAAATATGCTCATACTGAAGGTGAACTCAAATATCACCCAAATACAATAATACATTTTAATACAAATAATACTACAGTAATCCAACATAGCTCACAGGCCGCAATCACACATGAAGGACGCACTTCGGGCAGCACGAGTATGTCGTTTTCTAGGCAACAAAAACTTAGATGAATGTCTAGATCGAAAGCGTGTGCAGAGTCGACCGTGCATCTGGCCGAGTCGAAGGCAGGGTCAAGCGTGCGTTGAGGAATCCTCGACAGGTCGGAGGGGGGTCGTATTGGCCCGCTGGGAGGAAGAGATCGGGCCGGATTGATGCAGTAGGATCATCACTGTCGGAGGACAAACATCAAGGAGTGATCGATGCTGTGCAAGCTTGGCCAGAGGATTCTCCTAACAATTATTATTCCACCCGCATAAAATTTTCGTGGTTCAAAGGGGTCCGCTAGTAATTCTAACTACTTCAGTGATTTATTACACACAAGGTTAAAGAATCCGAAATTCGCACGTTTTCCAAGGGATATTTTATCTTTCAAGTGAGTCCTCGAATCTGAAGGGATGTGAAGCACACGGCGCATCCCAGAGTGGGCCCAGTTGGTTGCGCGCGCTTCAGCTACGGCTCTCTGAGAAAGAATCTCAATTCAGGAAAAATCAAGAGGATTCTGAAAGGGTTCATGTGAAATTACAGGGAGGAATCACTATTTAAAGGAATGCAGTTTTTAGCCCTGATTTTTCTCATGTGAATAGTCCCTGGATTTCAAGTATTCAAGGCAACTAAAAGAAAAATGAGCAGATCACTGAGCCAAATCAGATCAAAACAAAGGCCTTTCTGGAAGAAACAAATGCAAGTCACGAAAAACCCTTCCGGGGAAAACTTTTGACCGCTACTGTACCTTAATTACTACATGACGATTCGAAGTGATTTGGTACCGTAAATTCGTCTCCGAAGGAAATGACTAGATGTGGTACATGCTGCATCGCTGAAGAAGAAGAAAGGCAAGCGATCTGATGTCATAGAGCGGGAATCACATTTTGCCTCCTGATTTCCTCGTCGGACGAGCAACCAACCAAGAGAGGGATGCTCGGACGTGCTTCCTGATAATCGGTATCATACCAACAAGAATCATAACCATAGCATTCAGAGGCAAACTAAAAAATACGGCCGCTGGAGCGAAATGATCTTTCCAAAGTAAAAGCGAACGACAATGATCATCAGCATCCAGCTTGTCTTCAATCCTCTAGTCACCTGAAGGCGGGGCTCTCTGTGAGAGCGACGGGCATCACGGCGGGGAGGGGGAAGGTTGTATCCGTTCTCCTCGACAGATAAGGAAACCTCAGACACCTGGTATTTGATTACATCAACCCTATGGCTGAGCCTATAATGTTTCAAGATAAGCCTATGCATATAGGTTTCAAGACAAGCCTATGCGTGAGCATAAGGCTGAGCCTAAACCCAAGTTTAATTTTGAGCTTCAACCGCCGCACACCTTTGTGACCTAATCTAGGAGGAGAACTGAAGCCATCGAACCACACGTAAGGCATTAATAGGTCGCTATGGACACGCTCTTCGCAGAGAGCGCCACCATCGCCCGTGTGCCTAGCTCCCTCTTTACAGTGGACAGATTTCCCCTTCCGACATCACTTTATCGTTCAAATCTGATCGTGGTCACACAATGGTGGATATATGAAAATGTGTCCATATTTCATTTGCGATCATTTCCAATCTAATTTGAGGTGATACTGTCGTTTGCCTATAGACTATTCAAACGAATAACGACAGCTATGAACTGGAAGACGGAACGGTGTTGGATCACCAACAGAGGGGAAGAATTGAGCCCTGTCGAGAGTTGTGAAGGTTAGGCCTTACAGAATCGCTTTTCGACAGTCACGCCTTATCCACTTGAATGAGAAAGCGGTAATTTCCTCTTGAAGGTATCGGCAACCCTCACTATTTCTACACTGATCTACCGTGTTCGCTCTTGCTGGTACTACGGCTGGATGGTTATTTATCCTTGGTACACTTGTCAGGTTAGACCTTAACCTTTTGTTTTTAGCTTGCTGTTAAATATAGAATTGCCAAGACTAAATTCAGTGATACAGTGCTTGGTGGTGCCATCGCAGTGTCGGCATTCGCCTTCAATCACGGTGAAGCGACAAGAGTGCAATGGACACCACCACTTCGTGAATCCTTCGCTTTCCCGATGATTATCGCTCAAATAGCCGTCGTCACGTACATTCTGAAGTAGGTTTTCTTTACTGAAGCTGTGATTACCCAATGAAAAGGGCGAAGGTAGGACTAGCACAATGTAGTGCTGTAGCTGCAGTCCCAGTCAAATCAGTGGAAAGGATCGTGTCTCTGACCGCTTAATCCTAAATTGTGCCTTCAAAGACACATGAGCAAATTGGTGTGGTTCTTGCAAGCAAAATTTCAAGCAGGGGTGCAAATTGGGTATTCAGTGAAGGAAAAAGGTAAAGAGCTCGTCAACGCGTTAAAATTGAAACTCCGTTCCTTCTGTACTTCGCCTGTCATACGCCTGTGATAATGAGACACTGAGCGTGGAGAAGATAGGATATACTAGAGAGCACGATGGATGAAGGGCGCAGACACCTTAATGTCGCGAACAAGAAGGAGGAATGGTCAACAAGATCTTAACAAGGTCCTGGTGCCCTAATCGTGCACTTCCGAACCCGCGTAGTAGACCCCAACTTCGGCGGACAGTTCTATCCTACCCAACAAAGGGCCTGTTTCTTCTAAACTCATCATGGCAGGTGCCACTGAGCGTTCAGGGAGCGATATGTCCGGTGTCTCTGAGGCTGATTCCTTTGGGAAAGAAATTAACCACAAGCTGTTTTGGAGGCTTTCTTTTTTGCTTATGTGTAAGCCCCATAATGTGACAAATAATTAAACAAGAGTTATATTTAAAAAAAAATGTTGGGCCATGCCGATTTTGATCGACCTACAAAAAAATGCCCTTCAAAATTCTTAAAACCCTAGCCAAAATGATTGGCGAAAACTTTTAGGTCTACCTAACAACTTCTGTGACGATCTTCTGATCCAAATTTTCAGGAATCATCGTTCTGGACCCTTTTACGTTTTGACGATGGCCGTTTTCGGTTGCTTGTCGTTGCTTTTTTGGCAATTTTCTCAATTTGCCTTTTTCACTCAAGTCGGTTCTCTATTTGTCGTCTATACGTCCGATTTTATTCCACGTCGAACGATGGAAACATTGCTCAAGGGACATTTGGTTGGTGGTTTTTCATCTTTTACAGCTGTCTACTTTTTGAGCGCGCCTTCTTGGGCTTCGAAGCCTCCCTCCACCACCCATCCACTCTCCTTATTGCTAGCTTCATCTCCTACCGTTTGAAAGAGCATGCTATTCATATTTTTAAATGGAATGCCTCTGAAGAGTTCATAAGGTGGCATTGAGGGTCCTCGCCGCAGTGTACTGCTTATCTAACTCACTTTCCGTTTCGTGTGTGATACTTGTGTTCAGACAAGTCCTTGAGTTGAAGTCACGGCGCAAGCAATGTTTGGTTTCAGTGAATTATATGGAAAAAGATGTGACAATAGAGTTGTGTGACACCTCTCAGCTGACAATGTTCACTAAGTAAATTGGCACACTAGTAACCAAAATGGAAGTGATCAGTTATGCAGGGATAAAGAAAAATTAGGAAAACATTGACCTGAAACCAAAAATGAGACCCCAATTGCGCGCTGATTTGCTCATTAGGCGTGTCTTATCGGTGCCGACCTCATCAACATTAATGCTGTATCTGCCAAATGGTCAGAGTCAGACGGGGAGAGGGTGGGCGTGACGCCGAGCGGGTATGGCCCAGCTGGGTTGCTGGGTCCTTCACTCTTTGATTCTTGCCGTCAGCCCCAACGTTAACATGCTACCATATCATTTCTAATTTTTTTCGCCCTCCAATTCCACTCACTGTCTCGCATTCTGAAGTTCGCCTGCTATATTTCTTCACTTCTCCACGTGAGACCTCCCTTAATCTTCTGTTGAGGGATACGGGGCCTAAGCGAATTGGCGTGTGATTGAACCGCCTCTTGCGGCACTCCAGGTAGCCAAAGCGCTTTCAAGCCCTTATCAAGCTCCAAGGTGCTCTGATTGACTGAATTTTACGAGTGAGTAAAATTTGCAGATAGCCTTCACTGTGGCGTTTGTGTTGCTATTCGGCAATGAAATGCTGCTTACTTCTCTGTACATAGCTAGTATTCTGGCAGCTTTGGCAAGTTTTTGATAGGTGCTCTTTTTTTATTCATTGTGCCTTTATATGATTGACCAGCCTTTTTTCTCACAGATTTTGGTGAATTTGGAGCCTGTACTGGGCAGGATCACGTTTCGACCGCTTTATATTGCACTAACGTCCTTGTCTTTCGTTTTTGGAACTATTGGAATCAAGTTCGGCGTTTCAAAGTTGCTTCAGGTGGAGGATGACGTGAGTCTGAAATTCAGAAACTTCACTCAAATAGATTTCAGTAGGGGTGTGTACAGGGATGGCCAAGCCTGTACAGTCCATATCCGACCGGTTGAGGGGGCGGTCCCACGGACGTACCAGCGCTGCGGCCGCGACAACGCGGGATGGAAGGTTGCCGTATCCCAGTGATTGAGTGGTGTCTGAGCAATCCGTCCTGCCGTCTGCATTCCTCCGCATGCACACTATCTTAGCAGTACGACGTAGCCTTTCCATCTGCGCTCTCGCCACTTTTCCGTCTGCGCTCTCGCCACGGTCGATCAATCGAAATTTATCAGCTGTTTTGAGCTGAATCCGGCTAATTTCGGTTAATATTCTCAAGTGCGCGCTTCTTTTTCACAGGTAAGTAAGTTTTAAACATGCTAATTTGTTTCTGCATAATTTTCAGTTGGTTTTATGTCAACCATATCCTCATAAGCAGCAATTATGCTTGTTTTGTTTGTTTTTTATTTTATTTTTTTCTCTTTCTATTTAACTCGTTCTTCATGATAATGCCTGTTTAGAAGTGTTTCCGACAATAATGGAAACACATCAAAGACACCACCATGAAGAACGAGTTAAATTAATTAAATAAGAAAAAATAAAAAACACAAAATAAGAATAATTGCTACTAATGGGGCAATGGTTGGACATAAAATCAATCAGAAGACATGCAGAAGCAAATTAGCATGTTTAAAACTTACTTACCTGTGAAAAAAAAGCGCGCAGTTGAGAATATTAACCGAAATTAGCCGGATTCAGCTCAAAACAGCTGATAAATTTCGATTGATCGACCGTGGCGAGAGCGCAGACGGAAAAGTGGCGAGAGCGCAGATGGAAAGGCTACGTCGTACTGCTAAGATAGTGTGCATGCGGAGGAATGCAGACGGCAGGACGGATTGCTCAGACACCACTCAATCACTGGGATACGGCAACCTTCCATCCCCGCGTTGTCGCGGCCGCAGCGCTGGTACGTCCGTGGGACCGCCCCCCTCAACCGGTCGGATATGGACTGTAGATCCTTGGCTGCTTTGCATGAGAGCCACGGCTCCATTCTTACCGTAATTGATCGTACCTTTTGAACTACAGAAACAGTCCGAGTGCTCGGTTAGGGTGCTTGATTGAATGCACCTATGCACCTTTTGGGAAATCTTTTGAACTGAACCTAAGTCAAGCGTTGTACTTTGAGGCCACTGTTTTCTTTTTCCCATGATCAGACAGAATTTATTCATTTATTTGTCTATTTATCTGTTTTATTTAGTCACTATTTATTTATTTATTTACTTATTTATTTATTTCTTTACTCATGCGTGCAGCTGATGCCCCAGGAAGAACTAGCAATAGAAACACTGTGGCTAGTCAAGGGACGGTAGGCCTAAACCAATGAAAACCTCTCGGAATCTATGTGAACACAAATGGAATCCAGGTCTCTTGCCTGCACCAGTCGGCAATGGTGCCCATAGCACACTAATGGGTGCAATGGGAAGCCTGCCTGAACTTCGGGACACGAGTATACCGACACCCTCGTGGAACAGGCAAGTCAGGTATAGGACCAGATGCCATTCGTGGATTTCAGTCAGAACAACGTTACTTCCAAAGGCTTGTATGTGGAGGTCACACAATTAGCAGACGGAATAGTTTTCTGAGGTGCGTCCTTCTGGAAAGGAAGGGTCAAATGAAGGGGTGGAATGCTAGCATACTGACTGAATAAAGCCCTTATGCAGGGATTCGATCCCTCATTGACTCGACCACTCGAAGTAGTTATTTTACACCACACTAAGGGGAAGGTAAGGGCGGAAGTGGTGTAGTGGCAAGTGGCGCGCTCACCACGCGAGCGGTCCGGGGATCAAATCCTGGGTCGTGAGTCGCCCGGGCCAACCAAGCCTTCCATCCCTCCGGGGTCGGTTAATTGGTACCAGACTTGTCTGGGAGGATAAAAACACTGACTTGAACATCGGCTGGCCCCCGCAAGTCATTGTATAGGCCACATCGCATTCAAACGCCACTACGAATGTACAAATGGAAGTAGAATGCGTGCCGCATCCCAAAAAGGGATTGATCAACGGCAAATGCTTTATCCTTTATCCTTTTTAGAGAAGTAAACCAAGCACAAAGCAAAACAAAAAAAATCAATTGGCAATCGAATTATGAAGCCTTTTATCCGAATTACGCGCCTGGTAACCACGATATCGTGATATGTTGATCCGATGATGTAATCAGAAAGGCGAGAGTCCACTGTAACGATCTCTAAATGGAGCTCACAATTAGACCACTTAACTAATGGCATCCGT